TGATCAGTACTGAAGTGTAAACCATGGATCAAATACTTGTACTGTTTCAGTATCAGTCAAACAGACCTGTGGATTCAGACATGCTCCTCTCTCTGATGTCTTTGCCCCCGGGGATGCCCCTGCCCTCGGAGCTGGACTTCTTCCGGTCTTTGTTGCACCACTTCCAGTCTGGGTGGGCCTTGAAGTGAGCTTCTTTCACCTGGGGGAGAACCAGAGCAGACCACAGACATGTCAGGTCAGAACCGTCAGCTCTGTCAGCACGGTGGAGCAGTGTGACGGTTCACCACGTGCACCGGTGTACCTGGAAGGCCAGATCGTGGTACTTCTGTTTCTCCTTGGGCCCCAGTGCGTACCACCACTCCCCCAGAATCTTGCTCACGGTCCTGTTGTCCTGGTTTGGGTGCCTCTGGTGCACCAACGCCCGGTGACGCTTACTGAAAATCATGAACGCATTCATGGGTCTCCTGATGTGGTCCTTCTCCCTCTGAGTGACTACAAACACACATCACATCACATCACATCACACACCACCTGTGACGCAGTCCAACGTCTGAAGATGAGTGGAGGGAAACACACCTTTCCAGGACTAGTCTTATCTCCGTCTTTGGGCAGAGCACTGAGGGACTGAGTGCGTCTCTTCACCGGGGATGTGGTGAGGGGCTGCTCCGGGACCACTCCTGGAAGGAAGCTGGGAGGTGACAAAGAAATGTGGTCAAAAACAATCTGGAGGTAAAACAGCAGAAGAACAGATCCAGGAGTCGCTCCAGATTAAAAGTAACTAAAAAGATCACAGTGAAACACCTGTGGACCAGCGGCTCTGAACCAGTTTAGGTGAGGACTCTAACCTGGTCCTGGTCCTGGTCTCTGAGAGAGTCCTTCACTCCAACTGCTCTCTCACATTATTGTTTTAAATGGAACCACACAGAAAATGACAACAGTACAAGGACAAAGGGCTCTAAAAATATTTTTTAGCTCCACTCAAATTAAAGAAGAAGGAGAAAAAGAAGAAAAAGGAGGAGAAGAAGAAGAAGAAGAGGAAGAGGAGGAAGAGGAAGAGCACTAACGGATCGTCCACGTCGCTCTCCGTCTCACTGTCTGGTCGTTCCCTCACTGCATCTCCTTTCTCCTTCTCTGGGGGAGGCTCCTCAGAGGACGGGGCTGGTCGGGATGGAAGACCTCTTTCGACAGTGGGAGGGGCCTCAGCCGGCTCCTGTGGTGGCGCTGCCACCACCTGACAGTCTGGGGTAACACACAACATTACATCGCAGCCGTGACGATGAAACCACACAAATTATTCCTGGAAGAATTAGTAACAGCACAAAACTTTAACCAACATACATCCAATACCTGACTTCAGACTGGCCGTCTGGGGGTGGTTGACTGAGTGCTGCCCCTCCCCAGGCTGAGAGGAGGAATCTGGTTGGGTCGGGGCCAGAAAAGGGACCAATGAGTGCCAGGGAAAGACAGGGACTGAGCGGGGCTCCACATTGGTCCACACTGCAGGGGGAGATGGTACAATGAACTGGACCTGTCAGTCACATGTCAACAACCAGTCATCACAGACTGAACTGCAACAGTCGTCTAATAAACACATTACATTTGGTTTGTTGATTGGACACAGCAGTAAAATGACCTTTGACTGATGACAGAGGTCCAAACAAACAAACAAACAAAATAGGACAGGTGTCATATATAACAAATGATTTGAGACCCCCCCCCCCCCCCCCAGGGGACACAGAGCAGTCGGCCCCCCGGGGGGACAGGGTGAAGAACAGACAGCAGCAGATCAACTTTGACCTTTGACAGGTGAAGGTGTGTCTGTGGTGTCCATGTAAAAAGACATATTTTGCTGCTTCTTTGTCTCTAAAATGAAGAAGTGATGATGTAACAGACCAACAAGTGAAACAAAAACCTGCTGATGTGTCGGTAGGAGCCGTAAAGTAACTGACCAAACATGCTGAGTCCTTGTCGGAGATACTGTGGGTTCTCTGAGGAGAACATGATGATGACGATGATGATGATGATGATGAAGAATCCTCGACGGTCCTCACAGGAGTTAACAATGTCCTTTAAAATCGTTCCACTAAAACACCAGAGACTCCGTTCCTGATGCTGTTACGGTGCCTTCATCTCTACAGGTCGCAGTCATTGTTCACGATGTTTACTGCATCGTCCCGGGAAATCACGAGGGGCTTCGAAACCGTGTCACTGACAAGTGTCAGCTCGAGTCCATCTCACCGTAACAATGCCGCAATCACACAACGAAGCCAGTGGACAAAATGTACTAGGATCGATTAGAACACAGCACAGACCCCCAGGTCAGTCTGTAACAGTGCAGCGGTCTGTAGTCCAACCACCGGAAGGATGCTTGTTGTCGACTATCTGCCTTCTCCTCCCGTTGGTCTAATTACCCCCGATGCCCTCTCCCTGTGTTTGTTTACATTACTACAACAGCTCGGTCACGAACGGGTTAACGAGGCCTCCGGTCCGCCGCGGCCTGGATTAGTACAGGCTACCGGTAAATGCGCAGTCTTTACGGACCATGTCCGACCGCCGGGGGGGTGGTGTGGGGGGGGGGGGGTGGGG